GAGTCCATCAAGCTGAATCTGTGAGTTGATGTTTTTCAACAAATTTGGAAATTTTCATTTATTATTTCTTTAGATATTTTACTGCTTCTCTGCTCCTTTTTTATGAGATTCTAATTACACCTATATTAGACTGCTTGATACTGTGTAAGAAGTCACTCACACTCTCTTCATTTACTTCAATGTTTTCTCTTTCTGTGCTTCATTTTGGGCAATATATGTTATCCTATCTTCAAATTCACCAATCCTTTCTGTGGTGTCTGATCTGCTGTTAAGTTCTATCCAGTAAAATTTGTATTTCAAATATCATAATTTTCATATTTAGTATTATCTTTTGGTTAATTTTTAGGGGGTTTTATATTTCTCCTGCTACTATCCACCGTTCACCTAGTCTACCTATCTTTTCCTGCAAATTCTTTTTTCAGTCACAGAGTTTTAAAAGTTTTTGTCTGCTAATTTCCAAGATTTGGGTCATCACTGTGTTTACTTTCACTATTTTTTTCTTTTGATTATGGATTGTACTTTCCTGGTTCTTCATATGATTTGTAATTTTTTTTTTATTGGATCCCAAGTATTAGATTTAGAAAAACATTGGAAAATGTGGTACAATATTTATTTTCTAGAGAATGCTTACTGTTTCCTTTCTGGCATTTAGGATGAACAGCTAATAATTCTCTTTCCTGCAAGAATTGATTTGAGCAGGAACTGGTCCATATTTTAATTAAGTTGAATTGTTGCCTGATTTGTCTAACCCATAATCTCTTCTATTGCTGCTTCCCCTGAGGGGCTGGTTTCTTTGATATTGCCAGTATTTTAGCTGGCAAGAGTTTGAACTCTGATTTTAAAGTTTTGGTTCACATCTTGGTTCAATCCTGGCAGAGCTTCAAAATACAATTACCACAAGAACATGCAGGATGAGATTCCTCTGTTTCTTAGTTCCTGTTTTTTATAGTTGTGTAAGTGCCAGTCAAACCTTAAAACATTTTCATTATCCCCAAAAGCCTCCTTGTACTCCATTTACAGTCAATTCTCTCCTACCCTGGCTCCAGAAAACCACTGATCCATCACTATACTTATGCCTTTTCTAGAATGTCCTATAAATAAAATCATATAATATGTAACCTTATATATCTAGTCTTCCCTATTTCATCATCATGTTTTTGAGATTCATCCATGTTGTTGTATGTACCAATAGTTTGTTTCTTTTATTGTGAAGAATATTCCATTGTATGGCTATACCACAGATTGTTTATCCATTCATCAGTTAATAAACATTTAGGTTGTTGGATCCAGTAGCTATTTTGGCTGTTATGAATGAAGTTTCATTTTTTTTTCAATTTAAGTTCAATTAGCCAACACATAGTACATCATTAGTTTCAGATGTGGTGTTCAACAGTTCATCAGTTGTGTATAACATCCAGTGCTCATCACATCACATGGCCTCCTTAATGCCCATCACCCAGTTCCCCTATCCTCCCATCCCCTCCCCTTCAGGAACCCTCAGTTTGTTTCCCATAGTTAAGAATCTCTCATGGTTTTTCTCCTTCTCTGATTTCTTCCCATTCGGTTTTCCCTCCCTTCCCTTGTGGTCCTCTGCACTGTTTCTTATATTCCACATATGAGTGAAACCATATGATAATTGTCTTTCTCTGATTGACTTATTTTGCTTAGCATAATAGCCTCCGGTTCCATCCAGGTCAGTGTAAATGGTAAGTATTCATCCTTTCTGATGGCTGAGTGATATTCCATTGTGTGTATATATATATCCATATATCCATATATATCCATGTGTATGTGTGTATATATATATATGGATATATGTGAAATATATATGGATATATGAGATATATATATGGATATATGTGAGAAATATATATATCCATGTGTATATGTGTGTATATATATATATATACACATATGGATATATGTGAATATATATATATATATCCATTCTTTATCCATTCTTTATCCATTCATCTGTCGAAGGACATCTTGGCTCCTTCCCCAATTTGGCTATTGTGGACATTGCTGCTATGAACACTGGGGTGCAGGTGCCCCTCCATATGAATGAAGTTTCTATGAACATTTGTGTGCAAGTCTTTGTGGGGACATATGTGTTTATTCATCTTGGATAATTGCTTTGGAATAGGACTGGTGATTTATAAGTATATGTTTAATTTTATGAGCAATTGCCAAACTACTTCCCAATGTGGCAAAACAATTTATGTTCCTACCAGCTCTCTAGGAGAGTTCCAGTGGCTGTACATCCTTACCAAAATTGGTATTGTCAGACTTTTTAATTGTGACCATTCCTAAGGAATGTAGGCCTCCTTTTCTGCTACCATATTGGCAAAATTCAAATGGGGAGGGGTTTGGTAGAAGAAAAATGGTTGAGTTGAGTGATTTGCCTTGGGAGCTTTTCTCATTCCAGTCTATCTGCTAGCCTAAATGGCTGTCAAGGGCTCAGCTGGTTTTTCTTCATCCTCTGAATTCTGTTTGTCAATGGAAGGCCTGCTTTTTGACTTAGGTGACTTGACACACTTTGCACACACTAGACCAAACACTCTTTCCCCACCATGCTCCCTTAGGTATGGATATGTCTTTGGTTCTTTGCTTATTTATAAAGTGTTCTTCTGTGGAGTTCAGTTCATCAGATTTTTATCCTATCCTCTCCTTTTCAGTATCCTCAAGGAAAAGGGTGATAATTATATAATTTTATATATTTTTCCCTTCTGCATGTTTAATTTTCTTTTTTTTTTTTAATTTCTTTTTATTTGAGAGAGAGATCTAGAGAGAGCATGAGTAGGGGGAGGAGCAGAGGCAGAGGGAGAAGCAGACCCCCCACTGAGCAGGGAGCCCAGTGTGTGGCTCGATCCCGGTACTCTAGGACCATGACCTGAGCTGAAGGCAGACGTTTAACCGACTGAGCCACCCAGGTACCCCGTCCTTTCTGAATGTTAACACCAAAGTGAATACCTCTCATACCTTTTCACATCATAATCATAAGTGGCATTTCTACTTCCTTTTTAAAGATCTTTTTAGAAGTGCTGCCCAACAATTTCTTTTTGTCTCATTGGCCTGATTGGGACATGAGGTTACCCTTATTGGTAAAGGAGGCTGGAAATTTTATTATTATTGTCATTTTTTAAAGATTTTATTTATTTATTTGAAAGAGAGACAGTGAGAGAGGGAACACAAGCAGGGGGAGTGGGAGAGGGAGAGGGAGAAGCCAGGCTCCCCGCTGAGCAGGGAGCTCAACACAGGGCTTGATGCCAGGACCCCAGGATCATGATCTGAGCTGAAGGCAGACACTTAACCGACTGAGCCACCCAGGTGCCCCTTATTATTATTATTACTAGCTATGCATGTTGGCATCCCCATTAAAATTGAGGTCCTGTTAGTAGGCAACTAATAGTCTCTATTATAATGATCATTGAAATACTATTATAATAGTATAAGTGATACTATTATAAGACTATTATATACTTGTCTCACAACACTATTGTCATAATTTTTGATGATTTTGATATCCATGTAGATGATCTTTGCAAATAATCCAACATCTCAGTTCATTGAATTCCTTTCCTCCAATGATCTTGTCTTCTATCCTATCTCAGCAACTGACAAGATGATATCCTCTAGTCTTTGTCATAACCAATAACTTTAACTTTTCCATAATTTGTTTCAATCCTCTTAATCTGTGGTCACTACCTCTTGTCTTTCCCACTTAGTCTGTCTAATATTCAGGCTCCAAAAGTCCTTTGATTCCATTCAGAACTATAATCCATTGGTCTTACTGCCTTTTACTGTCCCAAATCCTCCTTGTGGTCTTACTTACCTAGCTTAAATTCCATGGTCCATTATTATTATTGCTCCCAAGCATATGTACTTTCTTGCCCTGCCATGCTATATTGATTTTATTTTGTTAAACTGCAATCCTGATCAAATCAATCACCATCTTCTCTATATTTGTGGCATCTGAATGTGAGTAGAAGAAAAAATCCCCAGGTATGCTTATAGTCTCATTTTATATTTGTAATTAGTAAACCTAGTTCATTCATTTTCCCACTCTCCTGAATGATTAATTCAGTTTTTTCCCCTCTCCTATATGGGTATAAGTCTTTTTCATGACAAAAAAAAAAAAAAAAAAGTGGAGGGTGCCTGGGTGGCTCAGTCATTAAGCGTCTGCCTTTTGCTTAGGTCATGATCTCAGGGTCTTGGGATCGAGCCCTGCATCGGGCTCCCTGCTTGGCGGGGAGGCCTGCTTCTCCCTCTCCCACTCCCCCTGCTTGTGTTCCCTCTCTCGCTGTGTCTCTCTCTGTCAAATAAATAAAATATTAAAAAAAAGTGTATCAGCCTGTGAGTATGTTTTAAAATGTGATGTTAAATGAATATATTCCTCATGGAAAACATTCTGTGAGAATCCTAACTCTATATAAGCATCTGAGGTTTGTGTATCATAGGTTGTCTCTGATTTACAAATCACTGCTCTACTCGAAAATATTCAGTCCTTGTGATATTTTCGTCTGCCACTATTTTTTCCTCAAAGTGTTCATTTGCCCATTGAGTGAGGGTAAAAGACTACAGCTCTTGGCAAGTATAATTATATTCAGAAGTCATAATGAGCATTCATTTTCTAACACAAAGAGATATTTCTATATATTTCTGTGTACAGAGTGGCTACCTTTTTTTAGGTATTTATAACTTTCAGGAGTTTAAATCTGGGATGCTTGCTTTTCTGCAACGGTGCAGGGGAGAATAAAAGAGGCATAGCAGGATATATGTCATTAATGGGCCAGTCCCCAGAATGTACTCTCTTTCACTTTCTGGAAGAATTTGCTAGTATAGCATTTGGAGCATGATTTCTTGTCTTATAGGTTTGAAGGGACAGAAATTATAGGCAAAAAATATTTTCCAAAATAATTAAATATACTAAAATGTAGATGGGGATGCATATGGATTCTGAAATGAAAGTAACTTTTTTTTGTTATTCTTTTCAAAAGGTTGGGGATGATCTGAATTCATTCTTGAGATGTTGTTCACAACTTGCTGCTCAGTTAGAAGAAGCAGCTAAGGAAGAACATAATGTATGTATTCTGTGTAAACTGTCAAGTATAAAATATTTACTATTTTAATGATTTAAATTATTAGTAATGTTAATAAATTTTGTATTAATAAATTGTATATTAATTTATTAAAATCATTAATTGTTATAAAAATTTTAGTAATACAATATTTAAAGCTATACTCGTTGTTTGAACTTGAATGTGATAATCCATTCAGCAGTATTAGTCTAAATACAATGCCTTAAGGAGTTATAAAAGGCATTAGAAAGTTTTATTTTTTATTCTTAATGTAGGCATTTAGATCTGTGAATTTTCCTTTAAGTACAGCATTGATTAGGTCATTAGTATTTTCATATTTACAAATGAAAACATAGTATTAATAGTATTTATATTTCAGTGTTTTAAAATTTTTTTTATTTAAATCCAATTTAGTTAACACATAGTGTATTATTAGTTTCAGGGGTAGAAGTTAGTGATTCATCAGTTGCATATAACACCCAGTGTTCATTACTTCAAGTGCCCTCCTTAATGCCCATCCCCCAGTTATCCCATCCCCCCATCACCCCTCCAGCAACCTTCAGTTTTTTTCCTATAGTTAAGGGTCTCTTAAGGTTTACCTCCCTCTCTGTTTTTATCTTACTTTATTTTTCCTTCCCTTCCCCTATGTTCATCTGTTTTGTTTCTTAAATTCTGTGTATGAGTGAAATCATATGGTATTTGTCTTTCTCTAACTTATTTTGCTTAGCATAATACCCTCCAGTTCCATCCAAATAAGGTAATTTATATTACAAAAGTAATATGTCGGGCGCCTGGGTGGCTCAGTTGGTTGGGCGACTGCCTTCGGCTCGGGTCATGATCCCGGAGTCCTGGGATCGAGTCCCACATCGGGCTCCCGGCTCGGCGGGGACCCTGCTTCTCCCTCCGACCCTCTCCCCTCTCATGCTGTTTCTCTCTCTCTCTCTCAAATAAATAAATAAAATCTTAAAAAAAAAAAAAAGTAATATGTCATAATTAATGAAAATTTCAAAGAAGACATGCATAAAGAAGAAAACAAAAATTACCATAATCCTATTTCCCCAAGATAACCAACTACTGTTAACATATTTTTGTTTCCCTTCCTGATTTTCCAAAGTTATAAAGATTTAGAAAGAATGAAATAATACTGTACATACAATTTGGTATATACTATTGAGTGAGGGTAAAAGTACTACTGTCTAATATTCTGGCTCCAAAAGTCCTTTGATTGCATTTGGAACTATAATCTATTGGTCTTACTGCCTTTTACTGTCCCAAATGTTACCTTTTGAAAAGACTAACAAAACAAAGTTACTTTTATTTCAGAATCCATATGCATCCCCATCTACGTTTTAGTATATTTAATTATTTTGGAAAATACTTTTTGCCTATAATATGTATATAATACTATTTACAAAAATTTTAAATTAACATGTAATGTATTATTTGTTTCAGGGGTACAGGTCTGTGATTCATCAGTCTTACACAATTCACAGTGCTCACCATAGTACATACCCTCCCCAATGTCCATCACCCAGCCACCCCATCCCTCCCACCCCCCTCCACTCCAGCAACCCTTAGTTTATTTCCTGAGATT